GTTTTTTGGGGGGGGGGGATTTTGGCAGCACCAGCAGCTCCTCCAGCAGCAGCACGTGCAGCTCTGCAGCAACCAGAATTCCATGGGAATTCCATGGGAATTTTTTGGGAATTTTTTGGATTTTTTTTGGATTTTTTTTGGATTTTTTTTTAAATTTTTTTGGATTTTTTGGGGTTTTTTTTAGAATTTTTTTGGCATTTTTTGGGCATTTTGTTGGATTTTTTGGGATCTTTTGGAGATTTTTCTTGGGAATTTTTGGGGGGACTTTGGGGAATTTTTTGGGAATTTTTTGGGAATTTTTTGGATTTTTTTTGGAATTTTTTTTTGATTTTTTGGGGTTCTTTTGGAATTTTTTAGGCGTTTTTTGGGCATTTTTTGGGCATTTTGTTGGATTTTTTGGGATCTTTTGGAGATTTTTCTTGGGAATTTTTGGGGGGAATTTTTGGAATTTTTTGGGAATTTTTTTGAGATTTTTTTGGGGTTTTTTTTGGGGGGGATTTTGGCAGCACCAGCAGCTCCTCCAGCAGCAGCACGTGCAGCTCTGCAGCAACCAGAATTCCATGGGAATTTTTTGGGAATTTTTTGGGAATTTTTTGGATTTTTTTTGGATTTTTTTTGGATTTTTTTTGGATTTTTTGGGGTTCTTTTGGAATTTTTTAGGCATTTTTTGGGCATTTTTTGGGCATTTTGTTGGATTTTTTGGGATCTTTTGGAGATTTTCTTGGGAATTTTTCAGGAATTTTTGGAGGGATTTTTGGGAATTTTTTGGGGATTTTTTGGGAATTTTTTGGATTTTTTTTGGATTTTTTTAAAATTTTTTTGGATTTTTTTTTAATTTTTTGGGGTTTTTTTTGAATTTTTTCGGCATTTTTTGGGCATTTTGTTGGATTTTTTGGGATCTTTTGGAGATTTTTCTTGGGAATTTTTGGGGGGACTTTTGGGAATTTTTTGGGGATTTTTTTGGAATTTTTTTGGAATTTTTTGGAATTTTTTGGGAATTTTTTTGAGATTTTTTGGGGTTTTTTTTGGGGGGGATTTTGGCAGCACCAGCAGCTCCTCCAGCAGCAGCACGTGCAGCTCTGCAGCAACCAGAATTCCATAGGAATTCCATGGGAATCCCTCGGGAATTTTTTGGGAATTTTTTGGGAATTTTTTGGATTTTTTTTGGAATTTTTTTGGATTTTTTTGGGTTTTTTTTTTAATTTTTTAGGCATTTTTTTGGGCATTTTTTGGGCATTTTGTTGGATTTTTTGGGATCTTTTGGAGATTTTCTTGGGAATTTTTCAGGAATTTTTTGGGAAATTTTTGGGAATTTTTTGGGAATTTTTTGGATTTTTTTTGGAATTTTTTTTTGATTTTTTGGGGTTTTGATTTTTTGGGTTTTTTTTTCGAATTTTTTGGGCATTTTTTAGGCATTTTTTTTGGCATTTTGTTTGAATTTTTGGGATCTTTCGGAGATTTTCTTGGGAATTTTTGAGGGGACTTTTGGGAATTTTTTTTTAATTTCTTTGGATTTTTTAAAAAATTTTTTAGGCATTTTTTGGGCATTTTTTCGATTTTTTGGGGGATTTTTTTTTAGGTCTTTTGGGGAATTTTGGCAGCAGGGGCAGCTCTGCAGCAACGGGAATTCCATGGGAATTCTCTCCCAGTCCGTCCCAGTCCATCCCAGTCCATCCCAGTCCATCCCAGTCCATCCCAGTCCATCCCAGTCCATCCCAGTCCATCCCAGTCCCTCCCAGTCCGTCCCAGTCCATCCCAGTCCGTCCCAGTCCATCCCAGTCCCTCCCAGTCCGTCCCAGTCCAATCCCAGTCCAATCCCAGTCCCTCCCAGTCCATCCCAATCCAATCCCAGTCCATCCCAGTCCATCCCAGTCCATCCCAGTCCGTCCCAGTCCATCCCAGTCCCTCCCAGTCCATCCCAGTCCGTCCCAGTCCGTCCCAGTCCGTACCCACGCTCTTGTCCTTGCCCACGCGCCAGGCCAGGGGTCCCTCGTGGATCATCCGGTGCGAGGTCAGGTCCAGGTTCTGCGGGACCAGAATTCCATGGGAAACAACACCCGGAATTCCGGGAAAAACACCCCAAAATCCAGGGAAAACACCCGGAATGCCGGGGGAAACACCCAAAATCCAGGGAAAACACCCCAAAATCCAGGGGAAACACCCAAAATCCAGGGGAAACAGCCGGAATTCCAGGGAAAACACCCGGAATGCCGGGAAAAACACCCAAAATCCAGGGGAAACACCCCAAAATCCAGGGAAAACACCCGGAATTCCAGGGAAAACACCCGGAATTCTGGGGAAAACACCCCAAATCCAGGGAAAACACCCGGAATTCCAGGGGAAACACCCCAAAATCCAGGGGAAACAGCCCAAATCCAGGGAAAACACCCAGAATTCCAGGGGAAACAGCCGGAATTCCAGGGGAAACACCCGGAATTTTATGGGAAACACCCCAAATCCAGGGAAAACACCCAGAATTCCGGGAAAAACACCCAAAATCCAGGGAAAACACCCCAAAATCCAGGGGAAACACCCCAAAATCCAGGGAAACACCCGGAATCCAGGAGAAACACCTGGAATTCCGGGGAAAACACCCCAAATCCAGGGAAAACACCCGGAATTCCAGGGAAAACACCCAAAATCCAGGGAAAACACCCCAAAATCCAGGGAAAACACCCCAAAATCCAGGGGAAACACCCGGAATTCCAGGGGAAACACCCAAAATCCAGGGGAAACACCCGGAATTTTTCCCAGAAAACCGCATTTTTCCATGGAAAACCCCACAACTCCCACATCCAGGGGGGCATTCCCGAGTGTTTTTTCCATGGAAAACTGGGAATACCCGGAATTGTGTGACCAGGGGGGCGTTCCCGAGCGGGATTTTCCATGGAAAACTGGGAGATTCCATGGAAAAATGGGTGATTCCCAAGGAAAAATGTGGGTTTTTCATGGAAAAATGGGTGATTTTCCATGGAAAAATGGGTGATTTTCATGGAAAAATGGGTGATTTTCATGGAAAAACGGGATTTTTACCCAGAAAACCGCATTTTTCCATGGAAAACCGTGTGATTCCCATGGAAAACTGGGAGATTCTCATGGAAAAATGGGTGATTTTCATGGAAAAATGGGTGATTTTCATGGAAAAACGGGATTTTTTCCCAGAAAGCCGCATTTTTCCATGGAAAACCGTGTGATTCCCATGGAAAAATGTGGGTTTTTCATGGAAAAATGGGAGATTTCCATGGAAAACTGGGTGATTCTCATGGAAAATTGGGTGATTTTCATGGAAAAATGGGAGATTCCATGGAAAACCGTGCGATTTCCATGGAAAAACGGGATTTTGTCCCGGAAAACTGCATTTTTCCATGGAAAACCGTGTGATTCCCATGGAAAAATGGGAGATTCTCATGGAAAATTGGGTGATCTTCATGGAAAAATGGGTGATTTTCGTGAAAAAATGGGATTTTTCATGGAAAACCG